CTTTCACTGGGATGTGTGACTCTGGACAAGGGACTTACTATGTCTGTCCCTCAGTCTGTATCTGTCTGTAAAGCATAAGGACAATATCTCCTGCATGAGGTCAATGGGATAGCTAAGTGAGACACAATCCACTTCGCACAGCTCGACAGTTACTCAACATGTACCAAATACTAGGACTAGGATTTACTTGTTTATTAAAATTTATTTTATGGAAGTATAGTTGATTTACAATGTTGTGTTAATTTCTGCTGCACAGCAAAGTGATTCAGTTATATAAATATATACATTCTTTTTCATATCCTTTTCCCGTATGGTTCATCACAGGATACTGAATATAGTTCCCTGTGCTCTACAGTAGGGCCTTGTTGTTTATCCATTCTCTATATACAATAGTTTGCACCTCCTAACCCCAAACTCCCAATCCTTCCCGTCCTCAACACCCCTCCCCCTTGGCAACGACAAGTGTGTTCTCTATGCCTGTGAGTCTGTTTCCGTGTTGTAGATAAGTTCATTTGTGTCACATTTTAGATTCTACATATAAGTGATATCCTGTGGTATTTGGCTTTGACTTACTTCACTTAGTATGACAATCTCTAGGTCCATCCACGTTGCTGCAAATGGCATTGTTTCCTTCTTTTTCACGGCTGAGTAACATTCCACTGTATATTTGTACCACAACTTCCTTCTCCATTCATCTGTTGATGGACACTTAGGTTGCTTCCATGTCTTGGCTATTGTGAATAGTGCTGCTATGAAGATAGGGGTACGTGTATCTTTTTGAATATAGTTTTGTAGGACTAGGATTTATTATCCCTAGTATTTGAATTTCTGCTTGAAACTTGTCATTCCACATGACTAAAATTTTGGTGACGGTTGGACTGTGATATTTACATCAGATTGTTCTAGGCTGGGGTGGTTGTAACAGGTAACAGAAACAGTCACCCAAAAATTAAGATGCTGTGGCCTCTTGTTCTTTGAAGTTCAAGGTTGGGTATGAGATAAAGTAGTCCATTTCCTGTGTACGAATGCCTAAACTTTTAAGAACATCGGTATGAATAGAATAGTATCACCTTGGTTTGCAGTTAAAAGAACACTGAAACAATAATATATCTTTTGAAAAATACTCTTATTACACGTTTATTGATATATAATTCACAAACACAAAAGTTAATCATATAACTCAGTGGTTTTCAGAAGAAAGGTTTTGCGACCATCACCGCTAATTTCTGAACTTTCTCATCACCCCTGACAGAAAGCAGTACCCATTAGCAGTCCTTCCACCCAGGTCCTGGCCACCATGAACGTATTTTCTTTCTCTATAAATTCACCTACTCTGGACACTTGTTATAAACGGAATCATACAATATGTAGTCTTCCGTGTCCGACTTCTTTCATTTCATAATGTTTTACATTATGTTAAGTGATATAAACTATTTTTGCTTCATCCATATTGTCATATATGTCAATATTTCATTCTTTTTCATTGTCACATTCCATTGTATGGATATTTGCTCTTCCATTCACAATAATATATCTTAATAATACAGGATTCCCAAAACCACCGGGTAGATCTCAACTGTTTAGGATTAGAAATTTTCCTCTCCTACCTAAAAATCACTCAGCTATAGATCTCAGTCCCACAGTAAGGCTTTAGCTATGAAATCTCTGCACCATACGGCCCTAGCTTTCTCCTTTACAGTCTTAACTCCCCAAAACTGCTGAACATCTCTGCAATTTTAGATAATCTGGTATCAACCTACTCATCTCCTTATTAAGGTCAACACATCTTCAGGGGGCCCTCATCTCTCTCTACGTATCAATGTTCATCAGTCCGACGAACAAGGACTGAAGCTGGAGCAGTCATATGAACAGCCTGGGCTGAGGTTAAGTATGATCTTTGGCAGGGTTGACATCAGAGAAATAATTAGATTGGGCAGAGGCCAGAGCCGGACAAACAGTGGACATGGTTTAATTACTGGAAATGACGTGTTAGTAAAAAGGGTGCAAGAAAGAGGGCATTATGGGCAAATTGGTGTTTCAGAAAAGGAGCCCTTGGCCTGGTGACAAACTCAAAGTTCACAGGGGGCGGTTACGCAGACTGAGCTGTCGGTCATAAATAGGGTGACAACTGCAACAAAAAGCAGGGGCCAAACGTTGAGGAGTATATTATCACAGGAAAGCTGACAACAGGGTCCAGGGCAGCTTTGGAGAACGTCCACCCTCATTGTCTTTCCCGGAAGGGTCTTTGGTCCATGCGGGGTTGGGTCCTGCTGGGACTTCCGAGGACCACGTCTGTCAGAGAACATCCTGGCCCCAACTTGAGTGCTCTGTGCTCGCAGCCCAGAGATGGGAACGCTCTGGGTTCCCTCTAAAGAGACTCAGGGCTGAAGTGAACGGACGCCAATCTAAGAGACTAGGTCAGGGCCAGATCCTGACAACCTCCTGCACCAGGTCTGAGGACCTCCTGCCTCCTCGTGTCAGGTCAGAGGGTCCGGCTCCTTGCTCTGGGAACCTTGACCTCGGACCAGCTTCCACCTCCTTCCCTTCAAGGTCTGCCTTTTCCTGGACAGATGGGCAGGACCTCTGGATGTCTGCCCCTGCTGCATGTGCCGCACAGCTCTTGGGAGATGTATCACACCCTCTCCTGCTGTAGCATCTGTTTTCTTTGATCTAAGCCTTAGCTCCTCAACTAGAGTGTGTGGTCCAGCAGACCGGCCTTCCTGTTTGCTCTCTGCTTCAAAGTTTCACACTAGCAACTGGACCAGCTCCTGATTCTCACAGAGGTGGCCTCCATCAAAGGCCATGCAAAGGTGACTGGGCCTGCAAAAGTAGGCGTGGCAACTGCTGCCTGCCCCCCATTAGTGGCTGACAAAAATATTACCCGTGGGGTAATATGCCACTGACCTGATTATTACCTATAAATGTTACCGTGATTACATGACTGGCCACATCTATGTAGCAGGCACTCGCTCTGGTGTTGGACATATTCAGCCCCACATAACCATCCCGTATACGACACAAGTTTCATTTACCCATTTTCTACTTAAGAAACTGGGAGTCAAAGATGGCAACTAAAATACGGACACCCTGAAGCCAGTGGTTAAACTCAACCGTGAGTACCCCAGTGAGGAAAGCTGAGCGAGACACAGGGTGAGATCTACAGTGGGCTGTGAAGGAATCTCCAGGTTTAGAATCTTGGAAGGAGAGAAGAATTGGTCCCCACGGTCCTGAATGCTGTAAGCTCAGGGAACAGCAGATTGGAAGAATGGGCTGGAGCACACAACAGGAGAGAAGCTTGGCTGAGCAGGTAGAAAGCAGATTACAGTGGATTTTGACTTACTGGAAATAAAGTATTTTATTTAGTAAATGACAGAGGGTTTTAAAAAAAAAGAAATAGAGGATTAGATCTGTGAGACGCTCTGTTCATGGCACACCTTGGTTAGAATCCTTTTGTTCCCTTTGTCCATGAAATGGTCCAACCTCAACAATAAAAGAATCCGGCAAAGACTGTCTTCAGCCGCCCAGCAAATGCAAACTCTGCTGACCCCTCCCGTGCTGAAACACAGTGTTCCCTGTCCTATTGGCTCGAATACCCCAATAGCCACAAAGCCATCTGTTGTCTACATTTTATTGGGAGTTAATATCAGTGCATCTCCTCAACCAAAGCATTTTCATTTTAAGCAAAATTTCCCATTAATCATAAAATGAAAAGCTGTCATTAGAAAGAAATATTCGGGGCAACAGTGAGCAGGCATGAAAGATTATTGTGATTATAATCATTTCTTTTTTCATTACTGAAGATAGTATGTCATAGTTTGTTTGGGAAGATTAAAAAGATAATCCATGCAAAGTATTTAGCAAAATATTTGGCACAGAGTTAGATGTAAAAAAAAAATTTTTTGAAAAGGCCCCTGTGATTATTGATGTTACTTCCTTCCTTTGCCATTATGTTTGTCCTGAGGAGTGCAGGGGTAATCCTGGACTTGCAGTCTCCCAGCTCCTGTGCGTAACACTCATCCTACGCTAACCGGTTCCATCTTATTAGTGAGGCTTGGGGGGTGGGAGGGGGGCGGGGGGAATTATCATGGATTTTTCCCCGGGTGGTAGCAATTTTCCAATGTTTGCCAATGTGATGAGACGGCAATTGCTTTAACTGCCTTGGACTGGCCATTTGTATTTCCTTTACGGTGAACTGTCTATGCATTTTACCGTTTCTATTTTGGATGGTTTACCCTTTTCTCAGCAATTGTAGCAGCTATTAGTACCAATCAGACTTAACAATAACTTGTCTGTAATAGGTGTTGTAAAATGTTTCCAGTGCATCATTTGTCTTTTGAATTTATTCATGGAGTTTTCTCTGGGCAGAAATTTTCTAAACACACACACACACACACACATTTCCACCCTATTTCCTTTTTGGGTTTTGGGTTTCCTATTTTTCTTAAAACAATCCCCCCCCCCCCCCCCCCCCCCCACAAGGCAGCTCTCCGATGCTTGTTTCTTTT